CAGAAGAGAGAACAAAAAGAAAAATTTAAAGGAGAAGGCATTAGTTCTCTTTCGACTTTTTTTTGTCTTCGAAATAGATGCATGACCTGGTAACTCCCAAATCTGTACCCATGTGTAAAGCTCAGTTTATTTAGTTTGATCAGTGTCTCATTTTTTACAATAAAAATCAACATTTTCTGTGTTTTATTTGTTTGATTAGAATAACACTTCTTTTAAAAGGGGGTGTCAATTAACATACTGTCGCACATGGAAGTACTTTAGATTACTGATAAAAGTTCTCATTTTAGGAAATGTTCTGAAACAAGCCAAATTGATTTTTTTTTTCTCTAATTCTCATTTTACCCATGGGAATCATTGGGATCGAAAGAAACTGAATAATGCTGTTATTCTAGATCATAGTTTGGGAGAGAGTGTAAATGGAGGGGATTAATCTGACTTATTTTTTCCCTTCAATCTAACTTTTCTTAAAGTAAAAAATATAAACTGGATTTCTCTCCCTTAAAATTTCCAAAATTATAAAACAGTCACATCGGGTGGTACTTTAAATTTGATCTACTCCTCCTGTATAGGAAGGACACAGGTCATTGATCTTCTAAATTGCCATTTGTGAATTAAAAAGTCAAAATACTTGGAATTCAATATAAATTTAGTGACTTCTCTGTGTCTGTCTTCATTCTTTCTTAAAAAAAAATTCTAAGGGAACAAAAAGAGTAATTGACGTTTTGGGGTGGGAGGGGAGAAAATTACACATTTGAAAAAGCAATATGATTTGAAGCATATTATCATTGTGTTGTTATTTTCAGGACTACATAGTAAACAATGTTTATATATCTATTATTACAATGTTTGGGGGCGGGGAATGATATATCCTACTATCAAAGTAAAGGAGAATTGAAATTTTGCCCTTATTCTGTTTCATTGGGAAATTTAATGGGACCAGTCGCCATTGGTGGTAACTTTGAAGTGAATTAGACATTCTGCTTAAGTCGGAAGGTGTTATCTT